CAGTACAATTGTAGTGTAAACTTCTGTGATTGAGGGGAAGTTAAAAGTCGATTCAGTATCAGACTAATAAGCAAGAAATACTTGTTGATTTTTTTTTTAATGTCCCGTTGTAGCCTTCAATAAATTGAACTGTATCTTTAAAAAAAAATGCTCAAAAGGAAATTTTTAAATTCTTAATTTGTAGTAGTACTCTACATACAATCTGATTATTTTTCCTGTGTTTAGTCATATGTGCAGAGAAGAATACTTCTCTTGGACTCAGTCATGGGAAAAACCCACAACACTATTAACTACTTAGCAGAGCAGGATATATATGTCACTAAATACCCAGTAATAGTCACTTAATTTCTCTGAACTGTCTGAAATTGCTGCTGCTGTGTCTGTTCTGCTGGCTGTCTGGTGTAGGGGATGTGCAAGCTGTACACATGTGTGACTGCAGCAGTTTACCTAAGGCAGGCAGATTTTTTTTTGACACTGTCAAAAGACAGATGTTGCAGAAGCCCAGTGTAAACCAAAGCCTCAAACAAGCATTCCTGTGTACATCAACAGATCTGGGGACTTTGCTTCTTGGAGCTGTTAGTGACTACTTCTTTTTTTTTTTTTTTTTGTCACTCAAACCAGATTTCTTCAGTCAGCGCAGACCACCGAGGATGATTCCTGGAAGGATGGGTGTTACTGACAACCTAAAATGCTGATGCACTGCCAAACACTGCTGTGAAGCAGACCCCCAGCTGGCTGGGCGTAAGAACGTTATTTGAAAACAAAACTCAAGAAACCCATCGCACTGCAGACTGATGTATATAGTTCCTCTCCTCTTGAACGCAGACTTATTCTCACCTTCTGCTATTCTGCCAAGAGCCTGACCTCTTCGTGGTGGAACAGACAACTGTTTTACTGTGTTTCCACTGTTTAAAACATTACTGAAATACCAGTCTTCACATGAAGACTGAAAATAGCCTTATTTCATATAAACCTCTACTTGCAGCCCTGTGGAAAGTTTGTCACACAGAACTTCTGATGTGACCTGCTCCTGAGGATGCTTGCTTAAAAAGGCTGCTGGTTGTCCTGTTGTGCCAGAAAGCAGCTTTGAGCTGTTGCTATGGTGTGTTGCATAGCAGGGGGAGACTAGAAATAGCTATATAGGTGTTAGAAGTAAGACTTTTAAAATTCACCCTGGTGTACTCTAGTATTTGTCTGAAACTCAGCTGTTTGGGTTTTTTTTTTACTTCTGTATAGAATGTATTTCTGCTACTTTTTATTGTTTGTTCTAGAAGATGAAGCCGGTTTTTATAACTGTAGTACACTTCAAGCTGTTGTATTCAAGTGTGTGCATCACAGTTCACAAGTGAAGGAGCAGTACACAATATTTGTGTGGGTTTGTGAACAGGCAGTTACAGAGACAGGGGATGCTACTTAAAAACTGCTGTTTATCAGCATCTTCATATCTCAGCTGAGGAACAAACACTGGTTAAAAGTACACTTTTTAAAAATACCCCCCCAACTGATTTGACTTGAAGTGTTTCCCTTTGATCTCTTTCAGCTAGCCCCTAACTGCCTTGATTTTTGTAGAAGAGTTTTCTACTGTCTCTTTGGCTATGAAGGATTCTGTTTCAGTGTCCTTTTCCTCAGCAAGTGCTGGATGCTACGAGTACAGTCTTAGTACAGAAAATATGCACTGATAGCAATGTTCTCCCTGCCATCAATGTGATTTTGATAGTGTAGTTTAATAAAATGTTATGGTGCTGAAATAGATCTGCTTTATTCAAACAGTGAGCCTGACTTTGGAGTGGTTTTTTGTGCTAGGAATGAGGCTTTTCATGACAGGCCCAGCTCTTCAAGCTCTGCACGTTTCCAGAGGAAGGCTCTTACAATGCAAGTATTGATATTTACCTTTAATCTCCTTGGATTTCATAAGAATGAGGCAGGTGTTAGCCCAGGAAAACTTAATGCACAGCACTTGTTCATGTCTTTTCTAGGAGAACATCACAAGTGGCAAAGCAGAACAAAACAGAGGAGGCACCACTTGCACATAGGAAGTTCTGCAGGGTGCTGTACAGCAGAGATCACTTTTTACATCAAGTTTGCTTTAGAAAGATAAAAAAAAAATGAAGAGGCAGTTGATAGCAAATTGCTGTTTCAGTCCAGCTCATGTGTATGTCCCTGTATCACCCTCGCAGGGTAACGCCAACACATTCTTCTCAGCCCCTTGTGCAGAAGTCATCGTCACACACTAGGAGCTCTGAGACCGAGGTTGGGTTTGTCACCTCTTGAGATGCAGCTGTAAGCCAGTAACTGAAAAGTAGCAAGGGGTTTCTTTCTCACATTCTATTTGCTCATTCTAATGACTATCAGTGTTTTAATATAAACTTAAGATACAGCTGGATACCATTATTTTCCTGAAGGTGAAATAACCCTCTTCTACTTCAGAGCAGCATTGTAAGTCTCAGAGCCAGTTCCGCCTTGTTGAAAGGGCAAAAAGGAAGGTTCTTGTTATAAGCACTGTTACAGGTGGGAAAAGAAGCAGATGACACTGAGCTGGAGCTATTGCTCATTCTCTGACTAGAAACACCTCCCTTCCACACATGAAAAATGTCAGAGACAACTGTTTTTACACAAATAGGCTTCTCACTACCCCCAGTAAAGCTTTGCAGGTTTACACACTGCTCTGTTAAGGTTTTTCCTTTAGGGAGGAGAAGGTTCTTTTCCAATACTTCTGCCTGATGGAAAAGCTGGAACCTGGGTCACACTGAACTTGCCTTCCCAGAGCACAGAAAAAGACCAGCCACATTTCAGTTTGATTTCTCTACTGTGTGAGAGTTCTCCTTCTGTCTTTTACTGTGGTCTATATTTCAAAGGTAAGAACAGGCCTGCTTTTTCCAGGCAGTGTGTTTCTTTGCAGCCTCCTAAGTTGAGACAGCTGCTAGTATTTAATGGATACATAACAGATACTTAGTGCTAGGTGAAGAACAAAAACTTTCTGGAAAAGTAAAATATTTCAGTAGTTTAAAGGTTATATTCTAGTTAAAGGTTATCAGGCATGTGATACTGTTTCTATGAAGAACTGCAGCATGGATGACTACAGAGACAGGGATTTGGATACACATTCCTAGACAGACCAGAGGCTAAAGAGACAAGTAAGCAAAAAGGTTAACCAGGGCCTTACTCTGAGGTTGGGTTCTGCTCAAATTCATGGGCATTTTAAGTATAAATCCAATGCTGACAAGCACTTGAAGATGGCTGTCCCACTTCAGGAGAGGGCCATCTGTTTGCTTTTGGGCCATAGATCAGGAAAACACACAAAACCCAGCTCTGTAAGAACTATCACACTAATGAGATGTTAATTTAAGTTTTATCCTTTCATTTTTCTAAGCTGTTCTCATACCAAGTGATCTTCCTTCAGATTTTTATATTCTAGATCATCCTGAGGCCCAGCAGATATCATTAGAATGCTACCTTGCCTCAAACCAAGATAACAATCAACAGAACTCTTAGCAGTTTCTGCAAGCTTAAGAGGAAATCCAACTCCCTCATACTGATGCATAAGCCTGCTTCCAAAACCTAATACTACATCAGCATTTAACATTCCCGAGGTAGATGAAAGGCTACAGAGTTTTTACAGAGAGGCTCTACTGCACAACAGCGAGCAGTAGGTCAGTCTATATCATAAATTCTTCTGGAAAAAGTGGGTTCTTCCCAGCTGTGACTAGAGAAGAGGAAAGGCACCCATTCCTGGGGATTTCCCTCAAGATAGTGGAGTTTTGGATCACTGAAAAATGCCTTAAAGTTCTCACTTTTCATTTAGCTTCCAAGTAATAACAGCACTCCACTGCCTGTGTCACCACTCTTCCTTTTGTATCCTCTCCACCCACAAGTGCTCTGAGCAAGTGGGCACCTTGTCCCCTGTGTCCCTCAGCATCCCTTTGTCCCAGGCACTCAGAGATGCTCCGAGTTCACAACAGGGAGAAGCAGATTCTTTCCACCACCAGAAACAAGCCTCTGTTCGAGTCACAACAGGCTCTAGCACCTGCATCAGAACCAAGGCACAACCCTTCCAAAGCCGAGAGGTTTTACACAGCCATTGTGGAAACTATTTCACAGCAAGACTTCCACACACAATTCCTCTGAGCAGCCATGCGGGGTGACACTAAGCCTGGAGCTGCAGTATTACACACAGGGTGACCCACACCCTCCAATACACACTGGTTTCACAGAGGAGTTCTTGCCAACACTCTGTGTCTACTGCTAGACCCACCTTCCACAAAACTAAGAAAATCTGCTTTCTGTACAGTAATTTTATTTAAATCAAGTTAACTTTGTTTTTACACTAATGCCTCTGTGCATCCTTTAAAAGGAAAGGAAGTATTTTCTTTAAAAAGTATTTGTACATAAGACAACAAATCATAGAAGTGAACACAGTAACATCAACAATCCCTAAAACATGCACAATTGTACACTGAATTGTGGGTGGCTGTAAGAGCAGGAGGTAAGAGGGAGGAAGTCTTTCTCTAAGCTTTACATTTGATTAACACAAATAGAAACAGATGCCAGTGACCACAGCACTGATCAGACCCACTGACACTTTCTGAATATCAAGATCTGATTACCCTTAGTTAAATTTCAGCCTAGTAGAAGACAAATCCAAATAAGCGTACAAGTTTACAGGAGAACTCTTTACTTGGCACCCGCTGGAAAGCTCCAAGGTCAGTGTAATGAAAAGCACCTGAAGGAGCAGCCATTTCATGTCCTTGCCCTGCCTGCTGCAGGGCACAGGGAACCCATGGCACCAGCCAAGTCCTCGAGTTTAGTCACCATATTAAGCCTCCCCTTCCCATACTGCGACAGCTTCCACCCACCATTAGAAGCCACGTCCCTGGACCAAAAAGATGCAGCTTCCTTTGACCATCTGATGGTTTTATAAGATTTCAGTTGTTTCCATTTCTTCTCTTGGAAATGAGCCTGTACAATACAAGACACAAGTCCCTACGCCCCTCACCCCAGGCAACAACAGCCAGGACTGGCCCGACAATTCAGACACCCAGCTGGGACAGAAACACAGTCAGTGCTCACAGCTTCCAAGAGCAGGCAAAGCTGTCCCTATCTCCTCCGAGATCAGCACATCATCAGCATACCTGATCCTACATTTGGTTATTAGCCTTGGGTTTGGTTTTGGTTTTCTTCTTTTCTTTTCAGAGGAGCACATGTTACTACATCCTCTGAAAGAGCCTGTCTTTTTCAGACCATAGAGAAAGTAACCATCCATCAACTCCAACCTTCTGTCCCTTCTCTGTCCTCAGTTTTTAGCGCACACCTTCAGAGTAGAAGCACAAGCAGCAGATACCTGACACCTTGTCAAGCCAGATCAATAGATTGGCCCCCAATTTCACCTTAGCAAGTGATAGCATTAGTATTCATTTTTAGTCCACCCTCAAAAGAAGAACAGGAGAAATAACATGAGAAAGCAAATACATTACTGCAACCGTAACTATATGCAACCATCTCCTTTACTGTATCGATTTAGCCACAAATTAAGGGGGGGAGATGAGGAAGAAGTGAGGATGAAGAGGCAGCCATTTCAAAATGCTGAGGTGACCCAACACCCTCTCCTACCACCTGTAGAAAGACCTCCAGGAAAAGGGAGGTTTCATACACAGGCAGCACCTACATCTTGCAGTGCATAAAGCCCTGGCCCAAAAGCCCTTTCTGTTACTACCAATATTCCACTGGCAACCTCTACACATTGAAACGCTACAGAACCACGCAAGGCCATATACGCAGGGAGAGGCACCTGGATCTCCAATATTTGTAGAAAGTGGAAATGCACACGTGCACACATCTTGTCCCTCCCCCATTAGTTAGGCTCAGTCCACTCCGAACTGCCCTCCAACACCATCCCCCCCATGGGTAGGACAGTTGCTAGCAGTATTGTTCTCCACTTGCACGCTCACATGAAAGTGCAAAGCTACATGGACACACGGGCGAGCATGCACATAATCCTCCAGAGCTGGACATACCACCCACCCAGCTGAGAAGGTTGTAGTTGGGACAGAAAAAGAAACAAACAAACAAAAAAAATCCCTTCAAGTAATTTAAAACAGCCCATTCTTGAGGTTACAGCTGCATAGAAGCAGTGACCAGCTGGGCCTGTTTGGGGTGATAAGGCAAAAAAGTCTGAGGTCCTGGAGGGATGGAAGAATGAGAAGGTGTCAGTAGTGAAAGAGTAAGAGTTATTCTGTAGGTTGCTTCTTCACACTCCTGTGATTCTCATCTCCAGGTGACCAGCACCAGCTGCCTCCAGTTACTTCTGCACACAGCTTGGCCATGCAAGCCCACCACAGGCAGCCGATAGAATGATATAGATGATAACCTGGAGAAAGAAAACAGCCACTTCAGTAGAGAATTACACTTCCATCATTCAGTCAACTGCTGACTTGGCCTGGCAATCAAATCACAAGCTTGGAAACCCCAGGTTATCAAAACCCTAAATAACCTGTCAAATGCCCCACAGGACTTTGTGCCAGTGCCTCTTCCTCCACATCCTTGCAGCAACATGGGGATGAGAACTGCCCTCCAGCAAAACACGAACGAGGATTCAGTGGTGGCAAAGTACCTCACACATCTAACCCGCAAGTACACTTCAGCATCCTCATGTTAGCATTTATTACAGGCTGGAGGTACATTGTCACATCGAAAAAAGCTACTTCCAAGTGAAGTAACAAGATACCAACAGGACCAAGGCCTAAAAAGCCACTACAGATAGAGTAGCCATAAATTCAATATCTTAGCTGCTAACAGAGCTAGAAAGGCAGCTGTCCATGATGGGTGCTTAGATGCTAGACAGAATTGCCGGGAAAGCTTTTCCTATTGCTTTGACAAGAAAAGCTGCCTGGCACAATGCTCCTCTCACCTCACACAAGACCATCAAAACACTGGTTTTAGAGCTAATGCCCTTCCAGGCACAGAGCTTAGTACATGCAGGTCTAAAGACAGTACTATGCTATTGGTATTTTCCAGTAGTTAAGCCTGACTTAAGAGCTAAAGGTGATTGTGCTCCATACTTACAATTGATACAATGATGATGACGATAGTAAGCTTGAGGTTCTTCATACACATGGCTCTAGCAAGGTTCCTGCTGGTAGTTTTGAAAGTGACTGACTACAAGAGAAAGTAAAACAACTAGTTAATTCCCAAACCTTCTGCAAAAGAAGCTGCACCCCAAGAAGCTGGATGCTGGAGGTTTTTCCCAGCTACTACTACCCTAATAACCACCCAAACCACTGCAGTTATCTCCTCCAGAGCCATTTAACTCCTGCAGTTACACTAATACAAAACTGAACAGGCATCAAGAGAAAACTCTCCCACACTACTTCAGGGGCAAGATCAAGTGTAAGAGTAAGTCCAGAACCAGCTCAGGGTTGTGCCTTCCCACACTCAGCTTGGGAGGATTAAATGCAGAACATCACTAGGTCTGTAGGCTGCCCACAAGGATTAGTTTACCTTAGAGTACTTCTGGTTGGGTTCTCATTTGACTTCCAACCTTTTGGGAATTGAAGTGCTCAGAATATTTATGGAACTAGCGATCTAATCACCAACATATTGCATGCAACTTTATTACTTTAAATACACCTGCTAAAATGAGACAACACATATCGATGCTCTTGACAGCAGTTCCCAAGGGGCTAGACAAGTCCCTTTAATGCTAGAACTTTCCTCCAGTATTTGGGCTTGCTGCATTTTATGGAAAGCTTGTGGTCGCCCTGTTCCAAGTCTCCTCTCTGTATCCTGCAATTCCACCCATTCAAAATAGGTTTTGGTCACCAAATAACCTCAAATACCCAGCAGGCTGCATTAGTGCAACTATTTTCACAGGCTTTCCCTGAACAGCTCAGGCAAGTATATGCCTGCCCAGAGAAAGGCTGCACCACCCAGCACAAGCCAACTCAGCAGCACACTCTGCTGGTTATTTTCAGGTTTTCCCCACAAACCACCCCCCAACTTTTTCAGGTAAGGCTACACCAGGCAGAACCACATCCCTATGAACTGTAATTTTGACTTGATTCCCATGCTCAGCCACCATCTGAACTTTGGGAGCACTTCTCTTGTTCAGCTGTGCGGTTTCCACATGTAGAAGCAGACTGCTGGATACCAACACACCTCGTCTCAGCCCAGACTAGTTTTCCAGAGGACAGGGCCACCCTGACCACCACCTTCTTCAGACCTCCCTCCCAAAACGGGGCCCTTGACACTGTTGCTAGGAGGGTTCTAACATATTTGGTTTATGTACAATATTCTGGTGGTCAAAGTTCATACAGGAGTGGTAAAACATAGTCCATTACTCTGAAGTTTGAGAACTTCAGCCCTGGATCTCCTAGGACACTCACCATTGGGCTGTAAGACATTCACACGAGAGGCATGTCCCAGTCCATTTTCTGTGTGTTTTCCAAGAACCAACACTCCCTGGGAAAGCTCGTACACAAATTCAGCCTAATTGCTGAAGGAATTCCAGTCCATTTGTCTAAAGCATTACCTGAGATTTAACTACTTCTTGCCACCACCTGACGAAGTGGTAAGGTTTAAACACCCCATAGCTGGAGGATAGTATTCCCTACTGGGTAAGCTCCAGGCACCTCTATGGCCTCCCTAAGGCATGAATACTTTTTGCCAGCTTAGAGTTATTTGGATTTCCTATCGCTCCAGATAAAGAGTGGGTTTTCCCCTCCTTGGGCACGAGAGATGAAGATAAGAAACACCACCGCTTATTGCTGGCAGCATGTTAGCCTGTGCTTTGGTTGTAGCAAACAGGAGCAAGTTGAAGACAGTTCTTTAATAGGATGGGGTAGCAGGCAGCTGGTCCTTGGGAGCAGAGCATTTGCCCAGCAGTGCCGCCTAGTATTAAGCGGTCACCCACAAATCCCACCAGTACTGGCAGGATACAGAACAGAGATGCATGGGATACCTTCATTCTCGTAAAGGAGCCGCAAGACTGGGATGTGGCCTGTGAAACAGCTGTTAAGGATGGGGAGGGAATAAGACAGGACTTGTGTCTGACACAAGGAAGGATTACCTGTAGATTTAGCTGCTTCAGTATCTGTTTAAAAGTGGCTTTAGATGCAGGTCTTCACCTCCCCTGCTCCCCAATGAGCACAATTGATGCAGTAACACTACTTCCCCATTTCCAAGTTCTTCCCCAGACTTACCGAATCCACAAGATTCTCTGTTTTATCAATCAGCAACTCCAGCTTCTCTCCTCTTTGTGCCACAAGGTCTGGAGAAAGAGACAAAAACCCAAATCTGTAGGTAGAATCCCAGTGCAAAAAGCTGCTTCCAATACCCAAGCCCAAATGCAAGCCAGGAGCTCTTAGCAGTGGCTTATTAGATATCAAGTAGTTCTCAGCTTTTCAGAGATTGCCAGGCAACAGTACTTAAGGAACAGCCTCACATCACACAGTTTTGGGACTTTTTGGGACTGACCTGGCTCAGTTTTGGTCAATTCCCGATCTAACCCTCTATTTTAAGTGGTCAGACTTGTCAAAACCCAAACCAGAGTCTGACACACACACACACAAAAAAAAGCAAGCTACTGAGGAGCATTTTCCTCACAGCAGCTGCAGGAAAGCCACAGTGACAAACAGACCAAAACCAGAGTGTGCTTCACCCCATCCACGAGCTGTCCAAGTTCATCTCAAACAGTGCTCCTCACACCCATCTGCCACCCTCAACCAAGCTCAACACAAGTAACAGCTTGCAAACTCAGAGCTTCCCCCAGCCCGTTCTTCATCAGTTCATTCTGTCAAGAGAGGCCACCCCACCGTCAGCTTCACTCTCGATAACTCTCCCTGCGGGACTGCCATTCTGGCCCCAATGAACCCTGCATGCATGGCACTGAGGGAAGCCAGATACCTATGTTTCGAACCATGATTCCTTTAAGTTCATCGATTTGAGCTTGCGTCTCTGCCACCTGGTCAGTGCCCTTGCTCTCCGAGTGGTACTTCTGTAACAAATGAATAGTCAGTGAAACCAGGGACTCTCAACGTTGCACTTCAGTTCCTTCAGACAAAAAAGGAAACTCCTGGTCACTACAGAACAGCACAGACATAAATGTGAGTTTTCAAGTTACCTGAGACATTAAGTGGGTAGTAGACCAAAATCTGACTTTATGAGCCCCTTACAGATCACATGTGCCCATCTGCTCCTGCACTGCAGGAGCTGCAAGGCAGCCAGGTGCCTGTGACTTCCAGAGCACCCACAAGTAACAGCCCCCTTTGAAAGTCTAAGCAATTGGCAGCAAGGAAGGAAAGTTAAGACAAGAATCTGTGAGACATGGTTCACTAAATGCCTGGGCTACTATCAGTGGTCCCAGTCCCAGACATCACTTCTAAACTATTTATGAAGGCAACACACTTTCATGACCTTCTCTACTTATCTCTAGAACATGTCAAGAGAGCCCTGCAATTTCACAAGCAAGACAGCACGCAGCCATCTCTGCAGCTGAGCATCAGAGGGAGTTCCAGCAAAGACGAGAAGGGCCTGTGAACTGGAAACACCACACCGATAGGTGTTGAAGATGGCCAGTTTGAGTTTCCTAACTGCTCTTCCTGTAGAGAGGATACAAGCAGCCAGGAACCAGTCTGCGGTGTACTAGACCCACCCAGGAGGATTTCACATACCACCTCCTAGCTACGGTCTGGCACCTGCCAACAGCTTTGCTGATATTGAATCCCTCCAGTGTATTACAGCAAGTCGAAAAAGCATGCACTAGATACCTCAGTGGGATGTCCAGTGTCTGTATGGAGCAAGCTCACCTGCTAGCTTGTCAAATACCTATAGAAGCACACTCCGCTCTGTGGCTTCACAGAAGAAAGCCAAAAAACATGACATGTTGCTAACCTGTGCACCATTCCCATCATCCCTCCCCTTTAATTCCCTTCAGAAGTGATGGGGACTTCACTCAAAGACTGTTCTTCCTGGTTTGGGGATCACAAGTGAACCTTTGGTGACGGCATGGTTCAGGCTGGTAGGTGAGAGAAGTGCTAGCCAACACCCCCAGGTTAAAAGGAGTCTCATAGCGTTTGCAGAATCAAAGGAGGGAAATTGAGGTGAAGTCAGTGTTGGATAACTAAGTTCTGCTATTCCTGGATTGATTTTAGGTCACTGCTCTCATCACAGGTCCTTTGCAGTCAAACACTGCTAGCCACAGCTCCTATTATCCCACTCCCTTTAAGTCACCTTCACGCAGGGAAACAGGTCTCTATAGCAAAACTCATAAACTGTTGTTTTCCTCTAAACTTGTAGCCGTTGCACTCACACCTGAAGACCTTCACAAAGCATCTCTGCTTCAATAAGAGACCATCTAAGGAGACTGACAGCAGAGGCCAGGACTAGATCACGATTGCTGTACTTCATGATCACCCACGTGGCTACTTAAACCCCAGTTTTCTTCTGAATAAGTGTTCAATTTGCATCCATTTCTGACAACACAGGAAGCAAGAGTCTCTAACACTAACAGCAGTCGCATACTTGGGTCATAATTAATGGTTATAGCACTGAATGCAACAGCTCCTTTGAACCTTCTCCTCAGAGGTTAGTTTTTTAGGAGAAGGTTCAGAACTAGCATGCTATCAAAGCTGGTCACTGGTTTTACCGGAAGCACAGCCTCACTTTTCAGTATTATCTGTGTGCTACACTTGAGTTGTAGGGTGATCTCTGAACTGACATATGATCTCTTCCTCCACCCTCAGCCTCACACTAGTTAAACTCCTTAAGTTACGGGAATCACCTAGATAACAGTCCTGCTCTTGCACTTCATGTAATGTTTGATCAGTAGGGCTCTCAGCAAGTTTTAGAGCTATTTGAGGCAAGAGCTTTCTGTCATCACTTAACTTCTATTAGTTGATGCCTGGATTTCTATCAATATGCAAAAGCTAAGGTAGGCAGCTCCTCTCATGCTTTAGAAAAATGGAAAGGCTGGGATTTTTAGAGGAATATCAACACCACGGCTCTGAAGACTGCCTGGCTCTTCCGATAAGGCAATTCATTAAGCTTATTCCAGCCATGAACAGCTTACAGTTTGATGAGTCATCACTTCATATAGTTTCCATCTCCACATATCAAAGCCTGGTGGAGAAGAAAAACTCAGTACTATCACACATAGGAAGTTAATCTAATTTATTATACATAATGCATTGGGCCTTTCCAGAACCACACTGGCATTATTATTCATTACTTTCTATCTGCTGCATAAGCCAAAGAACAGTTTCTGCAACGAACTATGTGCAACTTGGCATGCTCCAAATCAGCTCCACTAGTCACCAAGGGCACCAACACAAACAGCTCCTTTCACAAACTCCAATACAAACTCCAGGCAGCAACAGTGCAAGCGCAAATCCTCACTTCACCTTCACCCACCTCAGAGTCCTGGCTTCACCCTGCACCTCAACATGCAACTATTACTGCTGCAGAGTGTTATAAAGCTTGCCCAGTTTCTACACTTACAGGCAAGAACTGTGCTCATGGGTCACCAGCAAAGGACCTCTCCTCCTGCATCTGTAATATCACCAAACCTGGCACTTTCAGCAGATCAGCAGGAAAAATGCCAAGCCCTTCACAGAGAACAACAGCAGCACTAACATGCTCACCAGCCACAGCAGAGCAAACTGAGAACCTCCTACACCACATGTACAGCACAAGCTGTAGCTGCCCCAGATACAGATTGTGTACAAGCTCTGAAAGCCAATATTCCAAGGACACCTTATCTTTAATTCGAGGAAGGTCTCAAAAAAAATAAACCAAGCCAATACAACATTGCTCAGGTTATGAAGTTGTTTGTAGTCAATTAAGGACTCTTAAGAGTCTCCAACAGAAGATTCAAAACACTTTCCTTGTAGCCTGAGGTTTTGTGCACTAATAAGACTATTGATCGTATGAGTCACAGGGCAGTTACTTATTCCTTCTCTATTTTCCATCTGACTTCATTTAATTTGACATTACATCTAGAAAAAGGCCTGTGCTTTCCCCAGGCCTGTTTTCTCTGCAGGTGCTGGGAGTATACCACTGCAGACCAAACACCAGGGAGAAGTGCAAACTGCAACATTCCCACTACATTAACAGCTCATATTTTAAGAGAAGCCCTATCCCACACCTAGAGCAACTGCTCTCTGTTTTGTCTCCTCCTCTCCCCCACATAAAAACCCCCACTGAAGCAGGGCAGGGTGTTGTTTGCAGACCCAGGTTACACATCAAGTCAACAGTGCATTAAGAAAAAGTGCTCTGTGAAAGGGATGTCATTCTATAGAGGGCTGAAGGGAAATCCAAACACTATGCTGTGCACTTTAATGCTTCAGAAGCTATACCCATATACTGCTGTGAATAAAATACATAAAGCAATACGAGTATTTCCAATCTCTCCTGTCTGGCAGCTGAGGGCTTTGCCACACCTCAAACACAATACACAGCAAGCAAAGCACTTTCACAGAAGTGGGATGGTAGCATCAAGGCTGTATCAGATTCCTGTGGTAAGCAAAATAAGCACATAACTCCTCCGCACCTCAAGAGGGAAGCAGATTCCAGCCAAACTTTTCCCTTCAGGAGTCCAAGAACAGACCCAGAGTAGCTAGAATAGAGCCTTCTGAAACCTGGAAATTTCTTAAAAAGGAGATTGACATCTGTATGTGCCCTAACGACAACATTCAGGACTCAGCTTTAGTTGACCTGTCAACAGGGCCAATAAAATCAGACAGCACAAGCTGGGACACATCAGGACAGTGGTGCCATCCAGTTCCAGCAACTGAAAGCAACACGCTGTTTTGCCAGCGGGAAAGCTAGGACACACTGCTCCCTTCTCACACCGCAGGAGAGGGGTGCCACTACGATTCCACCAGGACACCAAGCTGTTACCTGGTCCTGGCACCACAGGAGCAGTGGGCAAGAAGATACCTTACGCTGCAGGCAGCTCCCTGACAGCAGCTTTCCTCACTGCAGCTGAGCTTGCAGCACTGCACCGTACCAAGGCGCTCTGTCTCACAGCCCTTCACATGCTGTTGTTCAGTGCCTGCATAGACCCCACTGACATGGGCTTCATCTTCCTTCCAGACTGGAATCATACTAGTGGAGCAACTCATCTTGCAAAGACTACAGTGCTTACAGTCCCTGGACTTGGAATCTAGCATTGTCCTGAACACCACTACAGCCTCAGCTGAAAAGTGCAAGTTGAGCGCGAAATAGATATTCCCCTCACTTTTGTAATACCCTCACACTTTCAATTTTGGGGTTGGAAGGATGCAAGACAAATCTCAACTTGGAGAATGTGGGACCTTTCACATGTCATTTATCCTGCTCCTTAACCTCCTACCTATCTTGGGAATGGAAATCCTTGGAGCCTCTGTGCAAGCTAGCTGGACAGTCTACCATGGTTCTGTATACAGCACTTGACTGTAATCCAAGCCCAGTTTTCTTTCCTCCTGAAAAGGACACAGTACCATAAGCCAAATACCCTGTCACGCTCCAGGAGCGTGCCACTGCAATTACCATGAAGTAAAAGGGAAGGAAGTGAGGGGCAGTTAGGGATTACTAGATACTCAAGTTCTGAAGTTTAGTTTAACAGAAACAGAGTAACATGTGTTTGTCTTCCTCTTAGTGACGGTGATGTTAGCTTGCACTGGATGGTCAACTGGAACTAGGCTTGACATTTCAAATGATAACCATTACGATCTAATCTCCAGTACAGCTACTTAGTACAAACAGTTAATGCATCACTATTGACCCCAACCCATTTTTACCACCAAAGCAGTGAAGCAACCCAGCTGCAGGGTAAGCGTGGGGAGAACAGCCAACTTCCCTGGCTTTATACCCAGACTCAGCAGGGCACTTCAGTTCCCAAGTGAGAAAATACAAGGAGAATTTCTGGGGTGAAGTTTGGCTTTTTAGGGAAATCCCATTTAGCATCAGATCTCACCAGCTGTGCAGCTAAGACACTTGAGAACTCGCTGTTCATTGCATAGGGAAGGGCTGTCTGTGCTCTTGAGCCATATGTGGTCTGAAACCTCTTCTTGATTTCATTCAGGAAGTTGAAGGCTCTGGATCTTTCAAAGTCCTGGAAGGAAGAGAACAGACCACTGTGGCTTGCACTGTGTCAAGTCAGGAGTAACAAAGCGTATGGGGCACATAGCCGGCTGTAGAGAAACTGCAATTATCAGTTCTTAACAGGCATGCTGCGCATAACACTATGGGATTTGAATGGTTATCCTGGAGTTTGAATAGCAGCCAGATTTCAGTCTCAGCTTCCCAGACATTGGTTGGCAGCAGACTCTACTGGGGTATTCATAGTTCTAACTCTGTGCCTGGTACCTTTATCCAGTGAGGGAGAAGTTTTTGCTTCAACACTTCCGTTTCAATTGAGGAATATTATGCATATTTCACTGACATTTAAAGGCTAGCCTCTGCACCTAGATTCTACTGCACTGGGGCTGCTAAGAGAGAAGAACTTAACCTCAAAACTAACTATTCATATACATTTGAGTTCCAGGCTTAGACTTCAAAGCTGTAACTGATGTGAATGAGAACACAAGCAGTAGCTCCAATGGGAAAAAACAGGCACCTCAGATTAGCATCCACTATTGCTTTTCTTTGACATACAGATACAAAAAAAAAAAAAGCCAAAACCTGCAAAGAGCCTGTCTGTGCAACAGTGGTAAACAAAATACTTACATCATCTGTGATGCAGAGGTATATAATCCTGTCTTGGCAGATGTAATGGAACAGATAACTGTAGAGAAGAAAAAAGAAAAAAAAAGGTCATTTGGTACTGCCACAGGACTAATCTTCTAGAAGACACTATTGCCTGCAGGTCCTTCAAGGGCTGGAGAAGTAGAAGAGCAAATTCCAGTTAATCTACAGGAAATCACAGAGATGCCAACATATCCCAGCCATCTTTGTTCACTTAAGTGTTTCCATTCCTGTAAGGTACACTGAACTAGAGACCACCTACATGTTAAAGAATTACTGGCCTCACATACTTCACAGCACTCCATGCTTCGCAATAACTTTATGGGACATTGAGTTGCCAAACAACTTCAGTTCCATGTTCTTCCAGCTACTTACTTGTAAAAACAAAACCTTGACAGGTTACCCAGGGGTAAGATTTAGGTCTAATCCTAATCAATGTGGATACAAGCAGTCACACACCAGTTCACATGTGACGAGAGCTGCAGTTAATTGGAGTGACCAGAAAGATAATACTTGAGCGAACCTTGCTGGCACAGTGACTTGCTTCTTTAGCCTCGTTTGTATGACCACTGGGTTGCGCTGCCTTTGGTTTTCATCGCAAAGGCCAATAGACAAAAGCAACCACAGCAGAAAATTAATTACATAGAACAATAATCAGGCTAAAAAGGCTTGAATCGTGGCTAGGTTAACTATTCATGTAAAGATGCCTTGGTGGTGCTGAGTAAACACAGATGTTAGTGAAATGCAGCCCTCAGTATCCTGAAAAGCAGTGCAAACCAGTTCAAAGCAGTATTTTTCTATCAAAATTAAACCAAGCTGTTATTTTAGGCCCACCAGAAAAAAATCCAAATAACCCTTAGTTCGTACACAACTAAACACAAACCAGAATTGACCAGAGCACTCCAGTTCAACTCACTGGCTTTAGCTATTGCTTTTTTATTACATTGCCCACTTGCCATTTGATGCTCCAGTAGGTGATGTTCTTCTGATAAGTACAGCAGGACAAAATAAGAATAGAGCCGCAAAAGGGTGATGTGAATACTTTTTTTTCCTAATTAAAAACTTTATGTACCTTTTCATTTTGACATTTGTGTATTTCCAAAAGTTTCCCCAGTAAGCATGTGGACCCTCATATAAACTCCAAAATAAAAGCAAGTTAATGCACATGCTGCACAGCAGTTGCCATGTACATCTCTCTTAGGGCACAGCTCAGTAGCTTTCAAACTCAGGTTTTGTATTACATAAGACACTGAAATAAGCTTTAGGGGTGGGCTAGAAGTATAGTTTACTGCCCTGAAGGCCTGTTCTCATGGCGGGGGGGG